AAGCAAAGCTGTAGCTGTTTAGTCCTTCCTCCTGCCTGCTCTGGACACCTATCTTGCTGCTGCTGTGCCACCACCCAGGAGAGTGAGAGTAGGAGTGGATCACCATATTGTGCTCCTTTGTTGTGGTTTATTGTGTTAAACTTGAAGGTCTTCTCAGGAGGAACCTCCCCTGTGCACATGCAGTATGTATGAACCTCAGCTGGTTCCTCAGCAAGGCAAAATAAGTAGGATTAATGACAGTAGCAAATTGATGGATTCCTCACCACACGCAGGCTTAGCAGGCAGTGCTAAGTTTAGCATGGATGGTGCATTATCTGCATGTGGCAGTTCCCACAGATAGCCAGACAAATCTGAAAATGCTCCTTGTATTTTGATGTGTGTAGACACTGAACTGGATGTCACATGAAGAGAATAGCCCTGACTCATAGAATCCTTACAGTTGGAAAAGGCTTTGAAGATGATCCAGTCCAATTGTAAACTCAACACCACCATGCCTACTGCACCACGTSCCCAGGTGCATCATCTACACATTTCTTGAACACTACCGAGGACAGTCACTCCACCACTACCTTGGACAGCCTGTTCTAATGCTTGACCACTCTTTCTGTGTAGAATTTTTTTTCCTAATACCTAACCTGAACCTCYTCTAGTACGACTCGAGGCCATTTTCTCTTACTCTGTTTTGGAGAAGAGRCTGACCTCCATCTCACTACAACCTCCATTCAGGTAGTTGTAGAGAGTGGTAGGGTCAATCAACTCAGGCCAGCTGCACCTTCATACCACGTGAAGCCCAGTTCTACCAATGCAAAGACATCTATAAAAGGTGACTGTTGGCATCTCAGTGGGCTGAGATCCTCTTGACTGTGTCGCACCTATGTAAGTAGTAATAGCGTAAGCTGAAGTACTATCACTGTCCAGTCTAAGGGCCTTCTGCTTTGCAAGAGCGCTGCTTAGAAGTCTCAACGTACCAGTTTCTGTGGTTAACTACATCTTCAATAAAACACCTGCCTGAGAAATGTTTGCTTTCTTCAGGAACAGATTTTATTGGCTGTTGTTTAAAAATAAGTTGGAGGAGAGTTTAGAAGTTATAAGTCAATTATATATCTTAAAATACAATATCAGGACCTGCCATCAGCCCCACAGAGAAACTACAGCTTCAAGAAAGAAGCAAAGATTAATGGCATGACCCCACAGAGTCAGACCTGTCTGTCTTCTATGTGTTGTGCCCTACAGTATCCAGTCATCCAGTGAACTGTTTACCACAGCAACAATGAAGAAATGTATTGACTTAAAAATAGACTTGTTTGCTCCTAAGTCACAGCATTAAGTAGATTTTAAACATATTCAGAAACTAGTGCTTTAGAAAGTATTTCTACTTGCCTCTTCCTTCATAAAATAAGGCTTATCATGATTAAAATCATCAGAAAATCTGCAGGGTATCTCCTTGATTAGAGAGAAAACAGACTKTAAGAAATACAAAGTTTACTTGTTACAAATCAATAGATATCGACATGGTATATATTAAAAATCACCAATAATAAGTTTTATTTAGATTTTATTAGTTTCATCAGAAAAGCAACATACAGTGTTATTCAAAGTTTGAGATAACCCTATTCTTTTAGTGTAAGGCAGTGGTAAGGTGGTTGTGTTAGGTCATTGCTGTTTGGCACAGTATCAGTCAGCACTGATATAAGCAACTCCCATGAAAGATGAAGRAAGTTCTAACGCTGGGCCATAAAAATTTCATGCTTTACGCTTACAAACTGGTCAGTATGGCCAAGGCTTTTCAGATGTGCCAACTAGCCAGTCCTGGCAAGGACAATTATATGTCTTGTTCGTAATTACATCTCTTATGTAAGGAAGGGAAAGCAAAGAGGTAGCGCCCTGGGGCAACATAGCAAATCCCCCATGGGCCAGGATGAAAATCCCGTTTCTCCTGACTTTAAGCCAGGTGTACCAAATTGTCTGATGCTATTCCATCTTGCTTTCACCCATTATGACAGAGTCCCAAATAACACTCAAGTGACAACAGGTATCAAAACATTCCCACTGCATTGGCAGCTGGGAGAGAGGGAGCTATGAGCTCATTTTGGTGCAATTCCATAAGGGTGAGGGCAGCTACAACAGGAAATAGTTCCATAAGATCAAACCTAAACTAAGCCTAGGTACAAATTAATGTCTTCTCTAACCTTAACAGACTACAGTACATCATTTGTAACACCATGCAGAATGCACAAAAGCTGCGAGAGAAAATATGCTTATGGGTTTTACTGACGCATTTCCAAAATAAATAACAGATCTCAGACTTTAACCAGATTTGAGTCTGTACTTATGCTTCCTTTTCCCTTTTCCAGAGCGGAATAGAAGAATAGAAAAATATGTTAGGAAAAAAAAAAAAAAAAAGCCTGAGACTATAAAAGTTTTGGAAATGTTTTAGCTTTAGCTAAAGCAAACCAAGTAGTGTGAGGCACATTGGCGTGATGGCTTTTCTCCCCATACAGACCCTGTGGTACTGTGGCCCTTCAGAACAGGTAACATTTTACATATACACGTCACCCCACTGATTTTAGTCAGATTGCTCATCTACTTAATCCAACCTTATGCTCAAAATGTTTGACTGGAATGTTGTAACACAGAGATGCYGCAATTTTTCTGAGAATTTCAAGAATTGAACTGTTAAATTCATGGCTTCTCCAAACTACTGTGCAGAGAAAAGGAAGCATGAACAGAAGAACATTTATATCAGCTAGAAGCTACATTTTCCTGTTTTTTTTTTCTTTTTTTTTATTATTATTACTTTACAATGGAGAAATGAAAAAGAAAAAAAAAGCAGGAAAGGGTTTTCCTCCGTGTACTGAAGAACAGGATGTAGGCTGCTGCCCACAGCAAACTCCTTTGTGTTCAGCTCCCATTTCTGTCATAATTTAAGCCTCAAGTACACATTAAAAGCAGGAGAGATTTCAGGGAACTCATGTACCCTTTGAATGCCTGTTCTCTTCTAGCACCATTTTGCTTTGTACATCACCGCTTCACTGCAGTAACTACTGAAAGTGGCACTGTGTGACTGGAAGCAGGAAAGGCCCCAACACTCAGTCATGATTTTGGGGTGGTTCTTACTCTGTTTAAAGAGATTTCCTTTTCAGAAGCACCTGAATAAACAGCTCTGAACATGGAGTGCCTGTAAGCTGTGTTATCACCTACCAGATTTAGCTTTTTTTAGCTTTTTTTTTTTTTTTATCTCCTGGATTTTAGAATTGCAGTAATGTTACCAGAATCAGGAACTTCTGCATACCACATGCCACTGTTTTGCAAACCTCCCTTGATCTGCTCCAGCTTCCAGTGCAGTTGACAGAGTTTTTTTTTTTTTTTTTCTCAGCACATCCATAATATCTATAATTAGATCGAGGTTACCAACCTATGTGATGTTTCTAAGCAAACGAAGCTCTCTTGCTGGACATTTTAACCTCGTACCCTCGAGATGTGGCCTTCATGTGCCACATGCAAAGACACTTATGTCCCTCTGCTCTGCAGCWCCCAGACCAAGACGGGGACCCACTTCACCCTGAGAAATCATATTGCTCTGAAGGGGGGTGGGTTACATCTCAGTAGTCAACGAACATGCTACATCCAGTGTACTCTTTGCAAGGGGTAATGGATAAAAAACACACTTAAGCTTGACTCAAGGAACTAGGAGGGGAGCTTACAAAAAAAACACGATGCAATAGGAAGAGCTTGGCCTTTCACCTGACTGTATTTGATGATTGTTTTTTGTATTTTTAAGTGGCTTTGTTCTGAATACATGGGAAATAGAGGGGCAATTCTTCTTGAACATGCTTTCTCATACCTTTTTTTCTCATAGGCTCTGTCTTAGCTATTTATACAAAAGGCTTAATTCAGCAATTTTCATGCACACTACATACATGTAAGCTGATGGGTATTAATGCCTTCACAAAGCTGAACGTGTGGGTTCCTTGCTGCTTTGTCAGGGGGGTTATTTCTGAGAATCGCCGTTATCTGACTTTCCAAAATTAAGCAGGATCACATGGGCTACAGTTTGGCACATGAATGGATCACAGGAATTTTGCAAAGATGGTTAGCTCTACTATCTTATTTTTGCTCATCTACAAAAGTGTTCTCTTGCTGTAGTTCTACAGCTGCTTAGTTAATTATTTAATTAGCTTTGTCATATAACAGCTTAAAAAAGAGGGCATGCTCAGGGCTGCAGGTGATTAGATCTTGCCCTCATCAACCAAGCAAGGCTTTGAAAACAAATTCAAGGAAAGCATGGTGAAAATGAGGGCTAATCATCTGATTCCATGCATGCAAAGGGGAAACACTAACATTTTAGTTGAGCTGCTAAAGGATTTAATGGCGGGGGAGGAGAGGGAGAATTGCTTCTCTTGCATGTTTGTGTTTTAAATGCAGATCAGGGAGATTAAATGAAAAACAAAACGAACTTTTCCTTTAAGAAATTAAGGAAATCTTAGTGATCTTGTACTTTTAAGAAATGTGGAATTTTGCAGACTTTGTGGAGGCGCAGCCAGTGCAGATGACTTAAACCCCATCATTTTCAAATCTTGCAATTCCTAAACTGYTCAGGAAGCAACTCCTTCCCCTGTAACTTTTCAATCCAGGCAGTGGCAGCATGGTTATAAATCATGTCTAATCCTATCTATCCCCTCTGAGGTGAGCAGCAGCCTCGGCTGCCACGTGGGCTGTGGGTCTCTGCAGGAGGGTTTGAGCGCCTGCGTTGGGAAACACCACATCTCCCCTTGCAAGAAGACCCAAGACAGGCTCTCAAACACAAAGGCATCCAGGACTGCACTAAAGAAACAGCACCAAACCTCAGCACACCCCCACCMCTTTATTTTTCTTTTTGAATGAGGATGCATGAAAGGCTTTCTGCTGCTTGCAGCTTCRCATTTTGCCCTGCGAGACCCTTCAGAGGTGCCATGGCGGGCACCGCTGGGAGCTCCATGGCCTCCCAGCAGCCCTGGCCATCACCTGAAGCCGCCGCCRGCCCCACCACCCTCTGCCTGCTCAGGCACCCAGCAGTAGTCATCAGCAGCGCTTTTGGCTTGCCGCTTCTCCTCCTTGGCCTTCCTCCTCCTGTATGCCAGCAAGGCCAAGGCAAAGGCCATGAGCAGCAGGATGGCCACCAGGCTGCCCAGGATGTAGTAGAGGAGCAGTTTGGGCCCGTCAGCGGCATGCTCAGCGTCAAGGGCAGACCTGGGCCCCATAGAGGTGCTGGTGGAGGCAGTGGAGGTGCTGGTGGAGATGCTGGTTGCACTGGTGGCCCTGGTGCTGGAGRAGGTGGTGCTGGAAGTGGTGGTGGAGATGGTGGAGGAGGTGATGCTGGAGGAGGTTGAGGTGGAGGTGGGGGTGGAAGTGGTGGTGGGCTGTGCTGAGGAGCCCAGGGGCTGCTCCGTGAGGGTGCCTGGGGCTGTCCCCGCTRTCCCGTTGGTGGCGGGGGGCTCGAGGAGGCAGGTGGTGCCGTCAGGCGCAGTGGTGAAGCCAGGGGCACAGGCGCAGCGGAAGGAGCCGGGCATGTTGATGCAGAGCTGGGGGCAGGTGGTGGCACCGGCCGCGCAGTCGTTTGCATCGCAGTGCGGTGAGCCGGCTCTGCTGCGGCACTCCGGCTGGCAGGGCCGCCCCAGGCACTCATCCACGTCGAGGCAGCGTYGGCCATCGGGCGCCAGCGTGAAGCCAGGCAAGCAGCTGCACTTGGCGACACCATCAGCGCCGGGCCGGCAAGTCCCCTCGCAGGGGTTGGGCTCGCAGAYGTTGTCCACAACGCAGGAGACCAGGTCGGGGCCCAGCACGAAGCCGGGATGGCAGGCGCAGCGCAGCGGGGCGCCCRCCTCTGCCTCCAGGCACCGCTGCGCGCAGCCGCCGTTGCGGTGGCTGCAGCTCGTGGCGCAGAGGGGCCCGCGCTGGTGCCAGGCGAAGCCGCCCGCCGGCCGCCGCTCCTTGCACAGCACGAAGTGCGGCTGCTGCCCGCCCGCCTCGCACGCCACCTGCGCCAGCGTGCCGAAGGGTGCCGCTGACAGCGCCAGGCTCTCGGCGCCGAATGGCATGCGGTAGCTCACCGTGCCCGGCCCCGCCAGTGCCAGCGGCCCGCACATGCCCTGGAAGCTGAACTTGCACACGTAGCCAGGCAGCGGCGACTTGCAGGGTCGGTCGGCCCAGCCGCCCGCTGAGGAGAGCCCCGCTGGCTGCAGGCTGCCGCAGCGGTGGCTCACGCACGTGGTGAGCGGCTCAGCCAGCCACGCCGAGTAGTTGCTTGCCTCGCCACTGCCACCAGCCCAGGAGAAGCCCCGCAGTGGGTCGTGGGCCTGCACGCACTTGCCTTTCTCCAGCGAGAGCCCGATCCACACATTGCCCTGCCAGCCGGCGCCTGCTAGGCTCCTGCCCAGCAGCTCCTGGACGTGCCGGGCCTCCTGGGCGCTCCGGATGGCTGCCAAGTTGCCGCCGTCATCCTGGCACTTCTTCTGTGCATTGCCCCAGGACAGCTTGCCGCGGTGCATCGTGTAGCAGGCGGTGCCGGCGCAGAGCACCTCGGCGTGCTCCGCCGCGCCGCTCAGCAGCGCCGGCACCAGCAGCAGCAGCAGCGGTGGCGGCAGCGGCGCTGACGGCAGCCCGGCGCCCATACCTGCCGTGTGTGCCCGAGCGACTGCGCCTCCGCCGCGGCCAGCAGCGCCTGTGTGCGCCGCTCACATCCCCGCGGCCCCAGCAGCCTGCCCCGCGCGCATCCTGTGCTGCCGGGGCTCCTATTTATCACCGGAGACTTGCGCTTCCTGTAGCGTATTTTCGTTACTTGGAGCTTGTTGATCGCTTCGGAGATATTTGGCTCTTTTTCTTGCTTTCCCCCCTCAATGAAAAAGGCTTCTAGTTCCCATTTTAAGTGCTTTACCGTTCAGGGGCTTTCTTTATTTTGGCTCAGGTTACTTTTCTGTATGAGAAACTAGCTGGAATCCTGCTTTTTTTTTTTTTTTTTTTCTTTTTTTTTCCTTTTTTTTTTTTTTTTTTTTCCTTTTAAACAGTGCAATGTACTCACCCACTAAGATAATTTTCTAATCCCTACTAGGGCACTGCAGTTTTCAAGCATCTATAGCTAAAAGGGGAAAAGAGAGTCGTGGGATCCCTCGCTATCATGCTTTTAAAAGAAACTGAATATTTGGCGCAACATCTCATGTGCACATTACGTTTCCAATGCATTTTTTTCCCCCTCGTTCATGCCCTTTAAATAGATGGACAAATCCTTAAATAGGAATTGGGTCGTGAGAATGTCCAGGCTGTAAAAACTAAGCCAAGTCCTCCAGCGAGGCTGAACCCATTCCTCCTCCGTAGGCAGTAGGGAATTTCCATCACCATGCGGTTACCTAGTCTCTAATTCTATTGAAAGCAATCCCTCCAAGTAGGAGAAAAACACTGGCTGGCCACCAGTGTTGCAGTGTCACCCGTGAAGATTATTGCTGCGATACTCCAGCTCAATATCTTAGTAATCACTTGACCTGCCCCTGCTGATGTCATGAGCTTTAGAGGAGACCATTAAAGAAGGGAGAAAGAGATTAATAGAATACATTTTGATGTTGAAGTATATGTATGAATGTTACAAAAGCTCTTAAATGGGCTTGAAATTACTCTCTCACGACAGTATTTTAGATACAAAACCATTTGAGGAATGTGATTTAAATTACATATTTACACATTTTGAAGAAGAATTTACTAGATTTCCTCTTTTTGTTTTCTTCAGATCAGAAGATGTCTTAGACACAAAGCAAGCTTGTATTTTTTTCCAACACAACACCATATGGATTTGCTCAAAACTCCTGCTTTTGCTTGCTTTTAAGTGGGCATTCAGTGCAGCCACTACATGTGCAATCTGGCTGTGCACATACGCAAACAATTACTTTACACACCCCAGCACATCCTTGTGTGTTCTGGTGTTCTGGGTTGGATGTGCTGTGCATTCAGAAGTAAATGTGCAGACAGACATGCAGCATTTGAGACACTTTTTTTTTTTTTTTTTTTTTTTTCTTTCTTAACTGTAAACTACCCTCACTTTAAAGNTTTTTTTTTTTTTTTTTTTGTCTTTCTTAACTGTAAACTACCCTCACTTTAAAGCTGATTCCTCCCTCATTCTTGTTAATCAGAGCAGTATGGACACAGAGCTCAAGATGGTGACTGTATTAAGACCACAGAGATTAATGGCACCTCCTGAGGAAGAGGAAACTGTGAGATTATCTCCAGACACAATGCTCTTTCTTTTCTCCCCATTTGTTGCTTGGAGATATTTAGATGAGCTCAGAGATTGGTTTGATGACAGCTGATAGAGGCATTACACAAGTCACATTACACTAGACAGTTTATTTTCACAATCCTCAGCATATACGGCAACGTTAGAGGGTGAAATAACAAAAGAGCAAAAAGCTAATAAAGAGATGAGTGTCTTGGCACAAGAAGAAGCCACAATTTGAGATGAGAAAGCGCAGATTGATAGGCAGAAATGAAATGAGTAACAGCTGTGATCCGGAGATGTCTTCACATCTGTTATGTCCTAATTGGGAGTTTTGGTGTGTTCTCTTGGGCTTCAAAAGGGTCTCAATTACAGCCTACAGGGTGTCAAAACAGAGCAACCATTTAAAAGTAGAGGCATGGGGTCTAAGCAATCAGCATTGCAGTCTTCACAGTAACTATCATCTTCATCAACAGTTTCCTCTCCAAGATCGTTAGACTGTCTTTGCACGTTCCAACGCTCTTCTCTTGAAGTCTTGCAGCAGACAGCTCAGATTTTAACCCCTTGACTCGGAAGTCTTCCTTGTCTTGTTTTTCAATTAGCAAACACGAATAGTGACCATTAATTCAATGCTTCTCTCAAATCTTTCTGGTAATCTACTTATTTGATGATTTATCTGACATTGTGTGCTGTGTTTACTAAGTAATGCAGAGCAAGCATTACTTAGAAAGAAAAGCCATTATGTATGTCCTTATTTTATACATCGCATATAGAAGTAAGCACATATGTGCAAAATCTAGACTTTGGGATACCCTCTAACTAGCAGACATTTATGCTAATGGAGGCTAGCCTTTTTTTTTCTGCATATCTGAAAGCAGCAAAGACACTGAGGAGATCCAAAGGAGGAGGGGGCCAAGGAGCTGGATCCCCTTTACCAATGAAACCTGCAGCGTGGCAAACTACCAGACAACATGAACTGCTTTCTCTGTGGCAGAGAAGAAAAGAAAAAGTATAATCTGTTAAAGAAAAAGTGTCACTTATGTCTGATTTGGAAGAATGAGTTACAAAGGGAGGGAGGAGAGAAGAGCAAAGAAAGAAAAATGTAGTTTCTGTCTCTGGTGCTGATCTGATTTGTGGCTTCCCCGTGGAGAAACAGTATCAGGAAGCTGTATCAGCTGGTGCTGCAGGACCTGGGCCCCTTGTGTCAGCATTAGGTGCTGACAGCATGGTTCTTATTTGCCTTTTTTATCTTTCATCCTGAATGGAGCAGATTTTTGGAGAAGCTAGGTCCTGGGCATGCCCAAAAGGTAGTAATACAGAGGAGGGAAAGCTCAATGGGGCTGAGCAACGAGTGCTGTATCGTCCCCTGAGCAGCACACTCCAAGGTTTGCTCGGGAGGCAGCCCGAAGAGATGGTAGGGGCTTGAAGTGCACAGCCCTTTCACAGCTCTGCTCCCATGCTGACCCAGGAGCCCTTCCCAAACTCTTCTACTTGTGCCAAAACTAGAAGTCCAGCCCTTAGTGCTCCTCCAGCCTCAGCACTGCCCACCTGGACAGGTGATTGACACGAGACTTTGAGCTGAACGTCTGTGTCTGGTGGTTTATGGCACAGCTTCCACATAATGTAAGCGATTAAGAATGGTAGTAGCGGAGGAAGCAAGCGTTAAGACGCTTGCTTGTTAAGACGCAGATGGACAGGAAAGGGATGTAGACCAAGAAGGGAGGAATTTAACATAAGTAATTGTCAGTTTCTGCAGCTAACACTTGTAAATAACTGAGAGTTCGGAGTTAATAACCAAACAGAAAAGGAAGAAAAAAAAAGATGAGAAAAAAAAATTCAGAATTATTTTAAATCAAAATTCCTTACTGGAAGATATGGGGGATTTTTTTTTTTTTAATTTATATGAAATATAGTGCTCAACAAAATAAATTCCTTTCTGTTAGTTCGAAATATATATTTGCTTTTATGAAAACATTGTCAGGCTTTTCTCTTTCCATATTGAATGACTGGGCAAATTGAGTACTTAATTTACAATGTTTTTAATCAAATCCACACAGGCATTTTTTTGATGAAAAATGTTCCGTACACAAAGAAATGGTCAGTTCTAACTAGAGGTTCTCTGATTACTTCAAAATCGTGGTTAAGAGCACAGTGGAAAAAAAAAAAAGAAAAACTTCAATTTATGGTGAAAAAAGAAATACTTTGAAAACTTTATTTCACTACACTAACTGATAGTTGACAATATTTTTCTTTATGATGTATAGAAGGTCTAATCCAGTGGAAGATTTGTAAATTGGGGATTCCTTTCCAATGGATTGGAATTTCTCTTTCAGGACTGCAGTATCACATCCTTTCATTAAGTTTGGAAAAATATAGCTAATCAAATTTTCCACTGATATTTTCTCTTTTAGTAACAATTTGAATGTTCCTACTAGAGCTATTTACAGGCTAGCTACAGTTTCACAGACAGGAAATCTAACCCAAGTACATGCACATTTTTATGAAACCTTCATTTATGAAGTTTACATTAAAATTTTTACCCAACATGTTTGCAACAGGGTAGTTTTTGGCAATTTAAAAATATATATATTGCTTTCATAATTTTTATAGGATACACTGTGCACTATAAACTTCTCCGTTTGGCTGAGAGTTCCATCTGAAAATCTCAGCTCTAAATTAAAAAGAGCTTTGATTCTTTCTATCACTCCTCAGTCTGCCCTTCCTTCCCAGTTGATCAATCCTATAATGCCATATTCCTGGCAATAATCAAAAGCGTATCAGCAAGATTAGAAACCCACGCTGCACAGAAAAAATAGACCAGCTTATTAAAGACATTGATTAGAATACGTTTCTCAAAGGCCCGAGGAGGAAATGTGCACAGCCTGCTTGAAAACAGGCAGTGTTTGCGCAAGACCCAAGGTTACAGTGGCAGACAATAGCGCGCAGGAGGCCGAGGGGACACCTGCACGAGGAGCAGCCCGGAGACCGTGATGGAGAAGAATAGGAGGAACCGGCAGTTCCTCTGGGGAGCTCTGCACTGACGTTGTTGCTGTATATAGCAAACAGGGCCCGGGCTTCTGCAGCACAAATGTGTATTCTTGTGCTCAGGGGCACACTCGTGGCTTGCTCAGCTTGGAGCAGGGTCTGCAGAGAGGAGTGCTCTGCCCTCGCTGCACATGCTGTAGCACCCTGGAGGAAGGTCCTCTGGGGGCCTGGTGGATGCCAGAAAAGGGGGATTGCAAGCACATTTTGGTGGGATAAAACCTCGATGCCGTGGGTGTGTTAAAGTTTTGCATGTAATTGTTCACTAGTGAAGGTGAACAGGGTAGAACTTCATTCATTTGCACTAACAACAGACTCATCTGTAGCAGGTTGCTAAAATCCGCTAATTGCCCATCAAAAGAGATTAAT